AAATTGCCAGGGAGACTAATAGGGGAAAATTAATTTCAACTAGGTGGCTTGGGGAAAGGCTTCTTTAGAAATTTTGAACCATTCCTGACTAATAAGTGTGAGTTTGGTTGGATTTTGTTAGAAGGGGGACGGTAGAAGGCGCTGGTTCCTGAATGCCAGTACTTGGACTGCTGATGCTCCATGAAGTTTTCGCACTGGAAATTGAGAAATAAAAATAGTGTGGTATACCAATGGTAATATGTAGTCATCTGAAGAGTATTACGTCAGACACCCATTTTCTGTTATCCATATTAAAAGGTTTGTCCAGGTTTACTCCTGCAACTCCACTTTCATCATTTTAAGGACTTTAAGAGAAGTCTGTGTAATGAGTGCATCTTGGTATGTTTAGCCCACTCTCCTTTGGCTGTGTGTAGATTATTTTGCTGTTGCAAACAGTGCTACTCTGACCATTCTTGCATTTTCCCTTGTGTCTGTCTCCAAGAATTTCTTAAGTACAAAAGTCCCTATCTTTTTTTGTTCCATGAGCACTGTTGGCAGTCCTATAGACCCTTCTCAAAATGTTTTTTAATGTGTAAAACAAAATACATGGATTGCAGACCAACCAGTCATATTGAAGTACAGTTAGCAAAATGTAAAAAACAAATCTGTGATGTAGATCACATCCTAGAGACACATAGGACACATTGCTATTGCTGGATGCAGGTTTTTAATATTTTAGAGTTTTTTGTATAAACATTTGTAAGTTAAATTGTACCTTATATTCCTATCCTTTTAATTTCAGTTTATCTGTGTGTTTATATTTCTGATAAACGGTATGTAGAGGGCTACTTTTTAAAATTCAGTCTGTCAAATGATGGCGCAGCTTTGTGTCTGGTCTGATTTGTTCAGTATCTTTGTCATAAATTAGCTGGCTTTGCTGATTGCGTCATCTCTTGGGAATGTTTTGTTTTTCCTGCCTTTTCCCTCTGCTTTGTATAATAATTTTTTGTTGAAAGCTGGATAGCTCGTGTAGCACTATAGGCTGAGATAGATAGTTTTTATTTATTCTTGGAAATGGGCGCATTTTCCCTTGTGCTGCTAGGCTAGGGCTTTAATGTGGGAGGTTTGAGTTCATATTGTTAGGAGATGGGCTGATTTGAGATTTGTTCTCTCTGTGGTTATCCTCAATGTACCACAAGCTTCAAATTTCTTTAGCAGTACCCGCTGCTAGAGGATTTTTCTCACTTTCAGCCTTCCCTCAGAAGTGGGTCCACTTTCAGCAGTATTCACCTCTTTCTTGTTACTGGGAGTTGCAGGGACAGGTGTGTTTCCTGTTGTGATAAAGCCTCCGTCTTGTGTCCTTGGATCTGGGGTATTTGGCCTTCTGGTGCTTCTTCCCACCCACCCTCATCTGCAGTCCTATCCAAAACCACAGTTCTCCCCTTCCTCAGAGGAACAATGTGTGCGGCCTTTCCACATGGATTAAAAGTTTTATTCTCTAGAGAAGACAGGTAAGGTTTAGAGCTCCTCCTGTAGTGGCTGCTCTTCTCCCCCTGCCTGTATCATGAAGGTTTCTTTCTCAGGACTCTAGTCTTTTTTATGTGCACCTGTTAGGGTACATGAAGGAAAAAGTGTGTAAGAGTTTGGGAATGTCTCTAGACCTGCTGCCTCCGGCGGGTCCACAGTCCAGTACTTACTAGCAGTTTGATATTTATTCTAGTTGAATCATTCTTAACTGGTGGCTGTACCTGCCCCAGGTAATTTGGCTAGCTTAGGCACCTGCCACTATGCCTAATGTAGTTTTGGGTTTTTTTTTCTTTTCTTTTCTCCTATTTTTTGTAGAGGTATGGTCTTGCTCTTGCTCAACCTGGTCTCAAACTCCTGAGCTCAAGCAATCCATCCACCTCAGCCTCTCAGGGTGCTGGGGTTACAGGTGTGAGCCACTGCACTTGGCCTTTTTTCTCCTTTTTTAATTGAAAGAGTGGGATCCGAACTCAAAAGTCCTGATCATGAGGCATTTGTAATTGCTTTATTTTGTATTTCCATTTCTTCTGTTTTTGTTGGTATATTTTTCTTCCCTTCCTGCTTTTTGTTAGATTAGTACAGTTTTTTCTTTTACTTCCTCTGTACTGATTTGACTGTTAAAATTCCTTTCATTTCTTATTATTATCTGAAAAAATTTAAAAGGCTTACCTGCCTGAACAAAGTATTTATCTCTGTATCCTGGCCAAATAATAGAAGGACCTGAAAAGAACTTTGTGTGTTCTTCCATCTTACAAGTAACTATTGTACATCATCTTTTTTTTACTTCCAAATTATTAGACAGCATTCCTGAATTTTTATGGAGTCAGTGCTCATTTGAATTTGTCTAGCTATTTGCCAGTTTTTTGTTCTCTGTCCTTTTGTTGTTGTTAGAAATGGGATCTTGCTGTGTTGGCCAAGCTGGAGTGTAATGTGAGTGAAAGTTTTTTATGCACTACAGATTTTTGCTGTTGAGTTGTCTGCTGGGCGTTTCATTTCTGCATAGATACTGTTTTTCCCTTGGTTTGCCTCTTTTCTTCAGCATTCTAAGTTTTGTTACAGTCTATTTTAGTGAGGATTTATTTGTATTTATCCTGGTTAAGACTAGGTGTGCTTCCTGAACTGTGGATTCACAGGCGCTGCCCCATATCTTTTATTTTTTTAAGCGTGAAAAATTTTTAGCTATCACCATGTCATAGACCGTTATCTCTCTCTTTTTGCCCCTCTCTATTTTATCTTCTAATCCCTAGTAGGTATATTTTAGATCTTAGTCTTTTTTCCCTGTCTCATGACTTCTTCTGGGACACTGTTTCTTCAGTGTATCTAATCTCCTGTTGAACCCTCTCATGGAATTTTTAATATCAGCAAGTATACTAATTTATAGGAATCTTATTTGCAATTTATTTGTTGTCTTTCAGGTTTGTCAAATATTTTCGATAGTGTCATATCTTTGCTTATGTTTTTGCTTTGCATGGTTTTTTGTTTGTTTTTATTTTTTTAATTTTTTTGTTTTTTTGAGACAGAGCCTCAAGCTGTCACTCTAGGTAGAGTGCTATGGCATCACAGTTCACAGTAACCTCCAACTCCTGCACTCACGTGAGTCTCCTGCCTCTGCATCTGCCTCCCAAGTAGCTGTGACTACAGGCACCCGCCACAACACCCGGCTATTTTTTTTTTT